TAATTCGGGATGAGGAGAATCAAAAAGATTCACCTGAGAGTATTATTCATCATGAAGTCAAAATTGAGGAAGAAATGGACATGAGCATACAAGAGGATGACATTGATGAGGCATTTGATACAGAGTTTGGCAATGAAGCAGAATTTCAGAGCAATGAACATGATGAAGCCAATATTGAGGAAGGTGCAGAGACTCTTGCATATCTACATGCACATGGGGTGCATCAAGTCATTGTGTCAAAGGTTGCTCAGGACAACATTATAGAGAAAATAGTCGCTGACCATCAAAAAGCATTAGACCTCATCGAGAAACTACAAATTGAGAACCAGAATCTGCAGGCAGCAAATGACATGAAAGACAAAATCATCTTGGAGCTGGAAACATTAATATGTAACTAGAAGGAGAATCCAACAATTCAAAATGAGTTGTCCACTATGAAACATACAATTGATAATAAGAATGCAGAAATAGAAAGGAAAAGCAACTCCATAATTGACCTCCAAATTGAGAAGATTATACTCCAACTTGAGAAAACTATGCTAGAAGATAAAATTGATGATGATGTAGTACATGCTGTCATACAACAAATAAACCAGGAGACTTTGGGTGTGGAACTGAAGCAAAATTTGAAGAAGAAGACCCAAAAAACTCCTACATCTTTGGTGAAGCGCATCAAAATCAAAAAAAGGAAAGAATTGAAGTTGTCTGATTTTGAATATCAAGACAAAAAGGGAGACAAATAGAAAAGGAAGTTGGAAAATTTGGAACAAAATGACATTGAGAAGCAATGTGAAATTGTAGATCCAGATTTTGAAGGCTATTTGCACAAGTTTCGAGACTTTAAGCGTCCTAAGCATAATAAGCTTAGGTTGTCCAACAAATATGAGGTTTAAAAGATCATATGTGAACAGGACAAGCAAAACATAAAGAATATGCATAAAAATGGAGGTTATGGGTAAGCATATTTCAAACAACTTCTATGTCTTTACATACCATCCTTGTCTTATTATATCTAAACTCTAAATGTAGGTTAACTGTTTGGCGAGGAACCACTAAGGAGACTTATGTTTTCTATGACGATCTTGAGTCAATAATTCAAGACAAGTCCATAACAAACAATGTATGGTGCTTTGTACATTGTGCATTAAAGGTTATATATATTAACATTCACATCATAATCACATTAACATTGACCTCATTTTCTCAAATGGAATCTAACAAAACTTCACAAGAACATGAAGAATTTGTCTTTCTCGTCAATCAATAATGATGAGGTTAGATACCAACATTATCCAATGTCAATAATATTATTTATTATATTAAAATTAACAGTAATATCTATTACCAGGTTTATATAGAGAAACTCATACTGATAGATCGTGAGAGCACACTGTTGGCGCAGACAATAATTCGGGATGAGGAGAATCAAAAAGATGCACCTGAGAGTATTATTCATCATGAAGTCAAAATTGAGGAAGAAATGGACATGAGCATACAAGAGGATGACATTGATGAGGCATTTGATACAGAGTTTGGCAATGAAGCAGAATTTCAGAGCAATGAACATGATGAAGCCAATATTGAGGAAGGTGCAGAGACTCTTGCATATCTACATGCACATGGGGTGCATCAAGTCATTGTGTCAAAGGTTGCTCAGGACAACATTATAGGGAAAATGGTCGCTGACCATCAAAAAGCATTAGACCTCATCGAGAAACTACAAATTGAGAACCAGAATCTGCAGGCAGCAAATGACATGAAAGACAAAATCATCTTGGAACTGGAAACATTAATATGTAACCAGAAGGAGAATCCAATAGTTTAGAATGAGTTGTCCACTGTCAAAAATACAATTGATAATAAGAATGTAGAGATAGAAAGGCAAAGCAACTCCATAATTGACCTCCAAATTGAGAAGACTATACTCCAACTTGAGAAAACTATGCTAGAAGATAAAATTGATAATGATGCAGTACATGCTGTCACACAACAAATAAACCAGGAGACTTTGGATGTGGAATTGAAGCAAAATTTGAAGAAGAAGACCCAAAAAACTCCTACATCTTTGGTGAAGCGCATCAAAATCAAAAAAATGAAAGAATTGAAGTTGTCTGATTTTGAATATCAAGACAAAAAGGGAGACAAATAGAAAAGGAAGTTGGAAAATTTGGAACAAAATGACATTGAGAAGCAATGTGAAATTGTAGATCTAGATTTTGAAGGCTATTTGCACAAGTTTCGAGACTTTAAGCGTCCTAAGCATAATAAGCTTAGGTTATCCAACAAATATGAGGTTTAAAAGATCATATCTGAACAGGACAAGCAAAACATAAAGAATATGCATAAAAATGGAGGTTATGGGCAAGCATATTTCAAATAACTTCTATGTCTTTACATACCATCCTTGTCTTATTATATCTAAACTCTAAATGTAGGTTAACTGTTTGGCGAGGAACCACTAAGGAGACTTATGTTTTCTATGACGATCTTGAGTCAATAATTCAAGACAAGTCCATAACAAACAATGTATGGTGCTTTGTACATTGTCCATTAAAGGTTATATATATTAACATTCACATCACAATCACATTAACATTGAACATATACAGGTCATAGATGCATATGTAGAAATTTTAAGAAGAAAGCAGGAATCAATGATGACAGATTCACAACAATTTGACAAATCATTCTTTTTCAACAGTTTGTGTTTGGTATAATTTGTTATTTTATTTTTTTTATCCTGAATTAAAAACAAGTTTGATCCCTTATTTATAAAACTCATTACTCACAAAGTGCTGTCAATGTTTACAGAGCATGATTAAAGATGAAAAAGCAGAACTACAAACCAAATTCATTGATCCTCACATCAAGTAAGCAAATCAGTACCGATATCTGTACTTTTCACTCCACTTTAAATATCATTGGACCATAGTAGTGAGCGACATGGATGATGGAATGTGGAAGCACTACAATTCAATGAGGCCCAGAGATGGTTTTGAAGACATGCACCTAGCTCAAGCAAACATAGTGGTAATTTCAATATTTCATTCAATAATATGAAAAAATGTACATGTTGAGTTACATATCAACGTAATTAAAATATTATCTATTCTACATATCTAATCATATTCACAATCACAGAAAACATATATCGAATCACATATTCAAAAATTGCTCTCCACAGCGGATATGACAGATACATTAACACCCTCAGATTATGTCAAGCCATTGCAATCAGTTGATGCATGCCCTCAACAAGACCCAAATTCGTGAGTATTTACAATTAATATTCTCATTGACATAGTAGCTGCAACCAATGTGAATATAACAAAATATTGATTCTTTCTTCTTTCTTTTTTTTTTTTCTCCTGCAGTCTTAATTGCGGAGTTGCACTTTGTTACATAATGAGGCAACATGCTCTTCATGAACCAATTGGACCTGTGCTGGACAAGGAAGCTTGTCTTGCTGTAAGAGCTCTGTTAGTTGAAGCATTCCTGAATGATCCTGAAAGAACAAATCATCCAAGTTTTGTTGTTGACACCAACGAGGATGCATCTCAGAACTAAACTTCATATTTTCACACCCTACCATTTTCTTTTGATGTATTGATGAAACAATATTAACATCAGCTTTTGACCAAGTACAATATGTTTTGTATATAATATACCACTCACTAACATGTGAACTTGGATATTGTTAGTTAGTAAACTATCATTCCACAAAGATATTGATACGAATAGCTATATACATTTTGTCTACCAAGAAATGTACTTTTAATATCAATGTTCTTTCCTGGTCTTATTCATGGTGTATGAGTATTATTAGTCATTATATGTGTTTGTTAAGCACAACACAATGTGAAAGTTTACATAAGTATATCATATGCTCACCCTGTCAACACATATTGGGGATATATGTAACTTTTCTACATTTTATTTTGCAAAAAATCAAAACAAACTATTTCAAAAAAAAAATGTAAAGAAACTACAAAATTACAAATTTCATAGAACAAATCTATTTTTTATTGACAAATTGTATCAAAATATGAAAATTCACATTAAGAAGCTTGCACCAACAAGTACACTCATACATGAACTACTAAATTGTTTACTAATGCAAATGTATGTAACATTCACAACACTATATTATTTATCTAAAACAAATTCTGCACTATAAATACTCACAACTCAACATAATATTCACAACGATATCCAACACATGAACCAATACTCACAACTCAACATAATATTCACATGAACTCTATTATTTGATCTTTAACAACTTTAATTGTGGCTGCCTATCTTTTTCCATCTACCACACCTCAAATCTGTTCAGAAACATATATCATATTCCATCCATGAACACATATTGTGTATATATATAACAAGATAATATTTTGTTTTGATAAAACTGATAAACAAACTATTTCATAAATACACAAAATGAAAAAAAAAAACTACAAAATGACGAATTGCATAGAATTAATGAATTCCTTCTTATTCAAAAATTGTATCGAAATACAAAACAAGTACACCAATGTATCAACTAATAAAATGTGTATCCAATGCAAATGTATGTAACATTCACAATGGTATCTTATTTATCTAAAAAAAAAAACACTGTAAATGTTCAAAACTGAATGTGAAACTCACAATGTCCACCAACACAACAACCAATATAACTCTGTATTGGTTCTTTACACGACTTCCGATTGTGCCTGCCCATCTTTTCACATCTATCACATCTGATTTGACTTACTTTTCCCCTCGAGATGGTATTCTACTCTTTCTCGGCCTACCAGCTGGCCATTTTACAATTGGAGGTAATATGATAAAATTGCTAGAGCAAAAATCTGGTTTCTCCACAGATGGTATTGGGAAAATAGCCGCTGCATATGCTTCCCTATAATTCTCTACATTAAAATATTTTTCAACACAATCATTAAGATTATATGCACTCCTTTGGATAGCCGCAACAACATATTCACAAGGAAATCCATTTACTTGCCACTAGTAGCAAGAAAAACACAGCGTCCAACCTTAACCGTAACTGATGGAAACGAATGCACCTCGAACACATCATCATTAGCTTTACTCACATTCCATGACCTACTAGAATTGAATGAATCTTGGAGGTTAGTCTCAAAGGTAGGGCAAATAATTCCATTCCACTTGTTTGCAATATCCCTTCGCTCTGACATTTGACACATTATTTGATTCCGAATAGTATCAACCAATTTTGTTATTGGAAGATTTCGTGCTTCTTTAATCCAATTGTTGAATGATTCAGCAGCATTGGATGTCATCTCACCATATCGTTGTCCCCTAACACATAACAGCAAAAATTGTCACAATTTAATACCATATGTGACATTTCACATTGTTATAACAACACAAAAATATAAACAATGTACATATAACTATCATTATATTCCATGAAACACACAATTGTACACACTTTACCTAAAGTAAGCATTTGCCCAATGTTTTGGTTCTAACCCTGACAAGAAGTTATATGCTCGTTGCTTCCCTTCACTCTTCAACTCTTCTAGTAATGCATGAAAACCTGTCACAGTAGGTTCATATGCACAATCACCCAACTTCCGTATTAAGTGTTCCTTGAAACCATTCTCCCTACCCTTCAACTTGTCCCTAAAATTATTCTTTAGGTGTTGTAAACACCATCCATGATATGCTGATGGGAATGCCTTTGGCATTGCTTCCAAAAGCCCTAGATTACGATCGGATACAAATGTCATGCGTCTATCATCAGCAATTACTTTTGACAGTTCATATAGAAACCATGACCAATTCGATTCACTCTCCGAATCAACAATTGCAAAGGCTACTGGAAACAATCCTCAAAACAAAATCAATGTTAACAGTCACAACTCACACACAAAAAGTAAACAAATGTAAAACTTCACATCAAAAAGCTAAACAAACCTTGGTTACTGCCTTTAGCTGTCGCTGCAAGCAACTGCCCTTTGTATCTCCATTTTAAAAATGTTCCATCAAGAAAAAGCAAAGGGCGACAATATTTGAAGCCATTTATGCACGCAGCAAATGCTACAAAAAACCTTTTAAACTGACTAGTCTTCAAATCATAGTCAATATTAATATGGCTTCCAGGATTATAACGCTGAACAGCATCACCATACCATCTCAGTTGGTCAAACGATGTTAAGTAATCACCATGCATAGCCTCTCCCACTTTCTCAACACCTAACCATGCTACATGGTAGTTGATATCAAGTCCATAGTCTGCCTTGAAAGTATATGCCACATCAATGGAGCGCGTTACATGGTAGCTGATATCAAGTCCATAGTCTGCCTTGAAAGTATATGCCACATCAGTGGGGTGCGTTAGTGGTCTATCCCTAACACGCTCAGATACAACATTTGACACCAAATCAGAGCTAAGCCTTGGATTTTTTGAAGTACGAACATCAGCACCACAACTATGTATCTTAGTCCATCTCTTAAGGTAGAAAAATTGGTTTGCTCTTTGGACTCTACCATGCACAGACCACAAACATCCCCTATCATCTCTATGTGAGCATACAGCAGTAATTCGTTGTGAATCGTTCTTCAAATATTTGAATTTAAACCCACACTACACTGCATATTTGCATAAAACAGTACGAAACTCAAATGCTCCTCCTATGAAACATTGACCAATATGCGTAATACCATTTGCCCAAACTGAAGACAACAAAACCTTCTCACTGTGTGCACAATATCTATGAAGCAAATTTGTTTGATCATCATCTTCAATGCATGGATTTGCTAAACTACTATGTCTATCAGTGCCCAATTTTTGCTCAACAACAACATCAATTCGTTCAACTCCAATTGATTTACCAAGTAATAACATGTTTTGCAATTCCTCATTGTTATCCAAATGACAATTTGTATACCCCGGCAGTCGGTAAAACATAGTGATTGAATTAGCAGACAAATCACACCATTTGTTACACACATATTTCACTAACTCTTCAAAGAAAAATGATTGTACCACATTTATTACAAACATGTTTGACCCATAGCAGCACAACAACAACATGAAAAAAATCCATTTGTCTCGTATCACACTGCAAAATCATCAATAGTACATAAAATAATTTGAATATTCAATCACATTCATATGTGTGAAGATTTGCTAACACAATGAAATGTATCAGGATTTTTAAATAGTTCAAATATTCACATCATAAAAAAAAAAAACTCTACCTCCTCAACAAACAATCATAAGCCCTACATTTATCATCATACACACCACATACTGCAAATTTTCAGCTCACAGTATACACACATACATACAATTTTAATTATAAAATTCATATACTGATAACGTGAACTTCCAGTTCACTAAATGCTTAACAACAATTTGTTCAAGCACTGATGCAACAAAATTTCATCATTCAAAATTTCACATGAACACAATGATTTCATCACAACAACGAATCAATCACTAATCGCATGACATAAACATCACCGTAATCAATTGATGATAAACAATGAAGAACGACGAAGAACAACGAAGAACAAAATTGACGATAAACGAAGAAAAATGACAGAACGGAACAATGAAGAACAATGAAGAACAAAATTGATGACGAACAACAATGAAGAACAGAACAAATCACAACACCAATCTCAAACAAAAACTAACATTCTCCAGAATATCGACTGAAAACCAGACAAAATCGCAAATTGAAAATCACAAAGACAAACCAGAAATTGCGAATCGCGCAAAACCTAGAGCTTCAATAATCGCAAATCGCGCCCTATCTATAGCTTCAGAAACTACCAAATCGAAAATCGAAAATGGCAAAGAGAAATCAGAAATTGCAAAGAATCCGGAATACAAACGCAGATCGCTGACTTCCCAAAAATCATATTCAAACAAGCAGCTATATTATAAGGGTAAAATGGTCAAAAAAATATATAATAAACACTACAACAAAAAACACATCTTATAGCATTCAATGAATGCTATCAAAAGTAAGCAATAGCATTCGTTGGAATGCTATGTTTGCCCATGTTATTAAAAGTGTATCATTTTTAATAACATTTATCGAATGTTATCGTTGAACGCTATCGTAAATATATTATAACAATTTTTGAATGCTATGAAATAGTTAAAAGTTACTAAAAATACCAAAGGATAACATTTTGTTGATGCTATGAAATTGTTTTAATAGCAATCAAGTAATGTTACAATTTTACCATATCATAACTAAGAATGTTATAATAAAGCATGCCAACAAACTTTTTGATAACATTTTTTAATGCTAAAAACACATCATTATGATAGCAATTTTAAATGCTATCATATAGTATTTATAAATATAATAAAAATCCATTCCAACACCAATATTGGAAACCTAAATCCTGTGAATGCAACAAACACATTTTCATCCATCACATACAAAACAATATCATTATTGAAAAATAACTCATCACCACAAATTTCAACAAATAATAAAATTGTTATAACATTGTCTTAATAAAATACCAAAACACAATCTCTCACTACGTTCAGAAAAATAAAAACGAAAGCTTAAAGTCATAATGTCAGTATGCACAAGACATAATAACACATTCAAATTCCTTTTTCTGTACCCACAAACTTCCAAGCTGACTTCTATTGGTTCCATCTTCTTTCCAAACCTAATAACTGTAAAACAATAATCAACACATCACAGTAAGTATAATCAGTTTAAAAATAGAGTGTATATCATTAAAAAGGAAAAATAAAAATAAAATTATATCAATAAACAACGTAGTTATACATAATGCTTATATCTCTACACTCTTTTTCCTTTTCAAAAGCATGTAAGGAAATACAAAGTGACACAGTAAATGTAAAGAAGAATTGCCATTAAGAATTTTTTTTGTTTTTTGTTTTTCAAAAATGAAAGTTTTTTTTTTTTTATATCAGCAAAAAAAACGAACTTTATTGATGAAATTAACATACATAAACTATGACAATACATCAATAAAGGGAGGCGAGAGCAAAAAGCATCATAGCATTACTTCTTAATCCCAACTAAGTTGGCACTTAGAAGAACACCTAATCATATGCTAGCTCAAGCCAAAAAGTCGGTGAGGGACCAACAAACAAAGAAACAAAAATTAAATAATAAAAAAAAAAGAGCTTGGCCCAAAAAAAGCAAACCAACTAACAAAACAAGCAACCAAATCAAGCAGCACCAGCAGCAACAAAACAAGCAGCAAATTAAAAAGCCACTAGGAACAAAAACAAGCAGCAGTAGCAACCAAATCAGATGCAACCCAATCCACTAGCAGCAACCAAATCAGATGCTAAGTAAAAAGAACACCCAATCCACTAGCAACAGCAACCAAATCAAATGTTAGGTACAAATCATTCATCTCCTACGACCCTAAGCAAAACCCAAATCAGATGCTTGAGATTATAATTGTGGGGTATTGTTTTTTGCTACATCTTCATCATCATGGTTATCTTTTTACTAGTTGCATTGTGTCATTGCCTTGGATTGATTTTTTTGTTTTGATTCTTTGTTTCTTTGTGATGCATTTTGTGGATATATCAGCTTTCTATAGATAAAGAATTATACTTTGTTATTGATTTAATATGTGTTTGCTATTGGTTATTGCAATTTATGTGCAAGAAATAAGTCTTTTTGTTATTTGCCAAGTTTAGTATTGAACTCCACTGAGAATAGGTTGAGTCATGATTGGCTTTCTTGAACTAGAAAAAGTGCTATATTTTAATTACCATTTTTTCAGGACCTTGATCCACACATGGTATTAGAGAGGAGATCTTATATTCTATTGGTCATGTATAATGAGAAGATCATATGATTAGAGTAAAAAAACAAGAATGCAATAAAGAAAGAGAATCATAATATAAATGAAATTTCATAAAACAAATATAGTTCTAATAAACAGTAAAGCAATATCCAAATCAAATAAAAATACATATAATAAATAAATAACTAAACTAATATAGTATGACGAAATTCAACCACAAAATTTGAATAAGCCAAACAATCCCTCCCCTCCCCTCCCCTCCCATAGGAGAAAAAAAAAAAAAAAACCCTTCTATAATGCATGATGGAGTACATTCAGGCTATACATTTTTTCCTTATCTTTCTGCACGTATTGGCTAGTTGTGGGGGTTAGGAAATTCCTATTGAGGGTTGCATGACAGTGAGCCCTATATTCTTTGGAGTGTGTTCTAGCCTGTTGTCTGTTGTCCTGACTTTCTTAGCTGTGAGTTTCTCAGCTATTTCCTGGGTTGACCAGTGTTGTAGGGGTGGTGTTTGAGTGTATTTGTAATGAGAGATGTGTCCTTTTCTACTAACACTTTGCTTGCAAGTTCTAAGCTGGTACTTTGCTTAGGGATGGTGGGTTGAGTTGGTGAGGCTTCAAATTAGGTAGAGTGTATTTTGTGAGTTGTGGGTTGAGTAAAGTGAGCTCTAAAAGTCTCTATATATTTGTTGTTTCTTGCTGTGAGGGTTGAAGTTGCAGGTTGATCTGCCCTCTTCGTTATGGTCTCCTTTTCTCCATATCCAGGGTATTGAAGTCTCATTGGCTAGCTATGTGCTGTTTTGAGGTGTATCCAGGTTGGTTCTAGGTTGAGGCCTGCATAGAAAAGTTGGCTGCTATCCTACTTTTCTCTAGTCTACAGCCTATGGCAGATTGCAAATACAGGTCTTTACAGATCTTCTACCCTCCTAGTCCAACTTTCTTCTCTGTAACTATAGCTGTTCTTTCTCTACTAAACATAAAAAAACAACAAACCAGCACCAGTTCCACTAGCAGCAACAGCAGTACAAAACAGCAGCACAAAACAGCAGCCTGAAGTTAACCTCCCTTGTGTGACACCTCTGTACACAGCAATAGGCAGCTATACAGAAGCTGGGCAAGATTTGAAGCTGCAGCTGTGAGATGGGCATGAGTGCTGCTGATATGGTGGTGGCACTGATGTCTTAGACTGTAGCAGGATAAGCTGTGACTTCGGCTGCTGTTGTGTAGGCTGTATATTCTTATCAGTTTTCAGTATATATATACATATGGTATAGAATTATCGTATATGTGTATATTTGTTTTGGTGTGGGCTAATGAGTTTCTTCGACTAGTAGGGTGTAGTGGCATAATAAGTGGTATTATGAACTTTTTGGCTCAAGTGTTTCAACGATAGTCATGGTGGGAAGCTAACGGTTATATGGTTGGTGTACTTGATCACTATACAGTTTAAAAAGAAAAAATCTTACCAAGAAAAATTCAGAAGATTATATTTTGTTTAAGTGCACGTTTTTGAACCCTGGTTCTTTCAACTTTTGGACCCAAAAAAAAAGAAGGGTATTTACACAGTGATCCCTTAAACTATTGTTAAGGATCCTTTTGACCTTCTATATTAAGAAAACATACAAACTGACTTTCTAAATTATGGATATTGTAAGAGGGAGAGGTCAGTTTGCAGTTCTATTTTCTCATTTCTTGGTTGAGCTTGTATATAAGAGTTGGCTGCTAGTTCTCAGTTCTACAGTTTATAGCAGTTTGCAGCAGCAGATTGGGTGTAGATGTGTCCATCCGAATGCTTGTTGCTTCTGTTAACTAATATCTAATAAAAGGTCCATAATTGCTCATGTAAAATTAGTTTAACTCATTACAAAGAGAGTTTTGAATACTAATTAAGTTCCCATAACTTGAGATCAATTTAAATCTATAAATTTTAATTTCATTTACAAATCCAAATTTACATATCCAAACAGAGTTAAATTGGAGTTAAATCACATAACTTTTTTTTTTTTCTTGGGTTCAATCGGTCATAGATTAATTTCAAATAATGATTATATCAATCAAGACAATCAAAATCCAACAATATCTTTAAAGTCAACAATTTTCAAACTCAATAACAATCACATGGACAACTACATATAACCC